TCACAGGGCGAGTAGCGTTAGCAGTGGCTTCGCTTTACACTCCTGCTGCATTTAGTGATGGTGATGTTTCTCTGTTACAGATGGTTTGTCAGAGGCTGGTGAACCTCAGTGCACAGCTGCATGCACTACAGGTCAGTAGGAGTGCTGCACTGCCCCCGCCCCCGCCCCTGATCTCCACTTGATCCTCACTGGTGAGAATCAAAGAGGAGGATCAGTCAGCATTCGTGGAGGAATTTAGGGCCTTACTCAAGAGCTTAACAGTGATATGATCACTCTGTTGACCATGGGATTTGAACCCATGACCTCCTGGATACGAGGATAGATACGGAACTCACTGACACACAGCGCCCCCTGCCGGTGCCACATTTGTGACTCTCAGAGTGCTAATTGCTGTTCCTCATCCTTGTCCAGGCAGCGGTAATAAGGCAGGACTCCATCCTGGAGCTCTGCCTCCGAGAAACCTCAGTACACACGTCTAACTCCACCGCACCGGCACCGGTGTCCTCCACCCCCGCCAAGCTGTGCCGCTCCCTGTCACGCGATGCCGGCCTGGACGCCGGCCCAGCAGGATCCCTGGGGGAGCTGGCGCTGCTTCAGCGGCAGCACAGTCTCCTGCAGGAGGAGTTGGTGAGGCTGCGGGCAGCCGAGTGCAAGCTGAAGGACAGTGAGAAGGCCCGCGCCCAGCTGGAGAAGCAAGTGAAGGACATGAGGGCTGGCAATGTCGCCGCCCCGGTGGACAATGCGGGGAATGTGGCTTCTGAACAGGTACAGTGTACATTTTTCCAGCTTTAGCCCTAAAGGAATGATTCTCATTTAATGAGGCCTGTGTGCGCCTTGCATACTCCTAATATGTGAGGCCCTTGATTGTAGATGATTTGAATTCCGGATGTCCGTTCAATGGAACAAATTCTGTACATAATTAAATGCATTTTAAACAATTAATTTAGCACCCATCAGTAAGGAATGCAGTGTGAATAATAGGATTCTGTGAGGCGATCTGAAGGAGTGTAAGGAAAGGCACTGGCATGAATCACACTCATTTTTAGCCAATATGTGGGATTTTTCAGGTTTTTCCTTGAGGGGAAAAAATCTTTTTTTGTGTAATGAAGCTCATTAAAGAACATGGGCAGCAAATCCAAACTGCTGGTGTGTTTTAACGACACTAATGTGCAGCCATTCTGATTCACCCATATCACAGTATGGAAGCTGGCAAGCCTTGTTGGCACAATGGCTGGTTCTCCGGGCAGAAGTCCCTGCAGTTCAGGGGCCCCCGTGGCTGCGGCCTTGACCGTAACCCGTTGACCCCTCCCCTCTTCCCTCCCTAGGGCAGGGCTGGAGAAGTGGATTCCAGCACCATGGCACCGCTGGCCAGCCAGGAGTCTGAGGACCAACTCGACGGTCTTCAGGAGAGCAGCGATATAGATGAAAACTCAGATGATGAAGAAGACATCAGAATTTCCCCCCGGTCTGAAAGCCCTAGAGGTCAGAGTGTCACCTAGACATGCCTATGAACGCGTCATTACTATTAATATGGTTAATTATATTAATAATAATAATAATAATAATAACATTCATATGAACTGACAGTTTTTTGTTGTATATGTGGATAATAGAACTATTCAGTTAAAAGTAAAAAATAAAATGATAAATTCCTTTAAGAATGTCATACACAGTGCTGTGCAAAAGCCTTAGACAATCAAAGTAACCATTTAAGGCTATTAATCTGAGTAGTAAGGGTATATGTGCTCAGAACAAAAAACACAATTTAACATTAAATCGTGAAAATTAAGAATAATGCAATGTGTGTATATATATATATATATATGTATATATATATGTGTGTGTGTGTGTATCAAGTCAACTAGGCGTATGTGCAGCTAGCCTGAGCTTCCAGTCACCAGCCAGCTACAAGAGTAAGCAGCATTGGATCAGGAGTTATATGACACCGTCTAACATAAGGGAGAGAGAGCTGGGTCAGCCAGGGTCCCTGGAGCAACTGAGGTCAAGAGCCTCACTCAGACGAACCAGCAGTGATATGATTACTCAGAACTCTGCCAGCGACAGGGTCTAAAGCTTCCGAAAATGGACACAGGTCCCAAACCCACTAATCTACACTCTGCCATATATATATGTGTGTGTGTGTGTGTGTGTGTGTGTGTGTACAGACGCTCCTTTACATATGAACTTTCAACTTACAAACTTTCAGACATACGAACGAACAGGACTGTAAGTCCAAACTGTGTTCCTTGGGCTCCTGTTTCCTGTCCGCAACATAAGCTTTTTTTTCTGCACGCCAGTTCCGCCTAGTATGACTTCTGGCCGCTATTCCCGCCACACAGCAGCGTAGCGTGCAAACTCCCAGCATCCTAGTTCTTTGTACTTGCAGATACCCTTAAAATGATGTTGAATAACGACTTACTAACATTTCAAGTTAAGAACGGCCATTCAGAACGTACCTCATTCGTAAGTAGAGGAGCGTCTGCATATAACAGAGAGAGAGAGAGACAGAGCCTGTCCCAGCCCAGAGCTAAAACACACCATCCATCCCATTTATATACTACTGACAGTGGTCATAATCATGCTGTAGTTCACAGCAGCAGAGATTTCAGACCATTATCTATGGCCCTGATTCACAGAAGGAGCATTGTCTGACCTGCACCATAAATCCTGATGAGCTTCTTACATCATTCATTAGTCATTTAATCATGTAAACTTTACAGCTGCCTTGAATTCCTCTGACGCTAAACAGGAATGCCAGGTGTCCGGATTTCCGCCCATAAAGGCTTCAGCTCAATTCCTCCTCCTGCTGACGGTGCCTTTCAAATTTTGCAATGCAATTACGTAAATGTCATCAGTACAAATCGTACATGACAGGAAAATTCCCCCTTTGGCACTATTGTAACATGTCCATTTAACGCACATCGCTAATTTTAAGGCAATAAGCATCTAACCTTTTAACCCTGAAGTGTTTTAAATGCCCACACACTTTTATATAATGTGAATTGAAGCTATACACACAGTTTTAGTCTTTTCTTTCCCTGGCCATTTACCCTGCCTGGGTTTCACTCCCTAGCTGTGTATTGTGTAGGTGTGTCCGAATGTAAAACGATATCTCTCTGGCTCTCTCTCTGTTTGCGCTGTGGGCGGATGGTTTCGCTGGACTAATATTTAACTCGCTCTTTTCCTCACTGTGGGTCCTGCCCATGCGTTCGAAATGGAAGCACAGGGACGCGAAAAAGCCTGTGTAACCATGGCAGCGTGACATGGGCTTTGCAGGCAGTAGTTAAGGATTAACGGTGTCGTGTGATCGTGCAGATCTTCAGGACATCCCCGAGGAGAGTGAATGTGGAGCAGATCCACGTGAGGCTGACGCGGACCCCGAGACCTCGCGCAGCTAGCAAAAGCCTCACTGGAACCTAGAGCCTGGAACCTGGGACTGGACCTGGTGTCAACCTGGACCCAAACCTGCTGAGCTGCACACGCAATTGGATCATTCCCTGTTGTATATAGAAATGCATCCAGGAACCAAATACCACATTATGTTCTGGTATATATTTGTTGAAATATTGTATTGCATATTAAGTTACACGTTACAATATAATTTTATTTTAGACTAGGTCTCTTCTAGAATCAGCCTTGAATTAGTTTCCCTTTCTGTCTCTGTTCTTTCTCTGCCTTAGTGTTCCTCTGTCCTTTGGAAATGGTAAAATACTAAAGAGGAGGAGGACAGGAGAAAAGTCACAGCAATCGCTTAATTCCAGAGTAGATTCAGGGAACCGGTGATGTAATTGAAGTTGTAACATAATCGATGGAAAAGAAAAAAAAAGTCTAATCTCATCCAGCATCCTCAGTACTCTGCATGGTCTGGATGGATGGTTAATTGACTGAAGGGTAATGGGGGGGGGGGGCTGGTGCATGAGGACATGTACTGTATATTATTATGTTAATAGGGTATGTGGGTAACACATAGTCACCCTACCTACCAGCCCTCCTTGAAGACAGATACACTTGAATTCTCCAGGACTTTTAAGAAGCCAAATTATTTTCTAATAATTTTTGGAGAGACAGCTTGATTTAACTGTTTTTTTTTTAAATTGGGGAAGGGCTTTGCAATGTACTGTTCAGAATTCTGTGAAATATTTTTGAGAACAACTTTAAACCAAAACTGTTTGTATTGCTTGTATAAGGGTTTAATGAAGATGGACGAAGATAGCACTGTCTGTACTATCAGAATGGAAGGAGCGTTCCCTGTGAACTCGTTTACCTTTTTTGTTCATTCTTATTATTATTTTTTAAGATGTCTCTTGCCGTCCGTCCTGTTCTCTTTAGTTACAGGCTTGACTTAAAAATTTAAGTTTAATTGCACATCTGCAGCCAGTAGCTTTTAGACTGAACTAACGACACAATAGTGATCTTCAAATCCGAAGTCTGTCAATTTTTTTCGCTCAATTCTGAACAGCAGTAGCATAGAAAATAGACAGATTAACAGAATTTATAGAATGTTTTGCTTTATGAAGAAAACTACCGTAGTATTCTTTTCTATATCGTATTATATATTATATATAAGTATTTGTGTGTATAAATATATGCTTTTGTGTTGACATTATGTTGTAATTTTATTTCAATTCTTTTTAATTTTTACTTTATTTGGCTGGCCTGTGTTTATAAATTTGACATAAATTATTTGTACTGTCTTTGATTATTTTTAACGACATGTGCAGCTCCACAAGCACTGATGTCTGTAGCTGTAAGCAGTTACATCCAGGGAGTGTATTACTGAGGTATCTCGGAGATAGTCTGTGGATGTCTAGCCTACAAGACTGTACTACAACGGCTTAACACGGACACCCCAAGGAAAAACTGCTCCGTGGAAAAAAATGGCCCTCGTATTTAAAATTAAAATGAATTTATTTAAACGTTTAAATTAAAAAATAATTCACACGGTGGTTACCGTAAGCACGGATTGCCATCAAAAGGTGGTACGAGTAAATATGGTGATCTTAATTATCTGCTGGCTGTCAGTATAGATCGATTACCGAGAACATCTTAACTCTAATTACAAAACACGCGCTTGTAAAACCATGTTGCCAAGCAGATGAGACTTGATTTGATCAACAGACCTTATTAAATGATCAAACCCGTTGCACACCGGAAACACCTGAGTATTTATCTGGGATAAGAGGGCTAATGTTGCTCAAACAGGGCAAAGTCATGCAGTGCTGAGTGCATCCACAACCCCCCTCGGGCTCCCCATGCACGGACACACCCAGGCCGGCGTAACCTGCGGTCTCCGCAAACAGCCTGTAACGCCTCGCTGGTTATCATACACACTGAACCAGGAACAGGCAGCCACTCAGGATCCGCACGGAAAGGTAAGAATGGCTTAAAAATAAGGCGAACACAGAAAAGACCCACATCATCATTTGAGACTCGGCTGATTATAGAAGTTTTGCAAAAAATCAAGATACGTGGAGAGTACCATCACGTATAGGGATAGCTCTTCTGGCGCGTTTATTTATGTCAAGCTAATTTCATTGTGGACACGTTCGAATATTTATGAGCTGAGAACACATGCCGAATTATTAAATCTGTATTATATATTTAAAAAATGAATGTGTAGTAGGAGTAGTAGTAGTCGTTATAATAATAAATTATTATTATTATTATTATTATTATTATTATTATTATTATTGCTGTTGTTGTTTGGCCATTAAAGAAACCGATTGCTCCAAGACTAATGATCAATGACCGGATCAATGAGTCTCATTGATGATTGTCAAGTCCGTCCCGAGTCAAGTGTATGGATTTCCTTCGCTATTCTATGCGCTTGACCATATGTTCAAAGTTTCTGCACTAATGTTGGAGGTTGGGTGGACTCGTGATGAAGACCCCAGAACGACCTCAAAGCACTATTTTCCTTGTTCATTGCTTTTCTTTTGTTATTTCTGGTATTCGTTAATTGGTACGTTTTGCATGTCTCCTCCGAAGTGTCAAATACCTGCATTCTTTCTTACTACTGTATAATCAGAAGATCGTCAAACACATAGGCTATGCAGCCTATATACCCCACGTAGCATTTTCCACTATAAGAGTAGAAAGTGAAATATGTCTATTGTATTTTGAATAAAAGAGGACAATGCTGTCTTAACCCACCAAGAGAAGCGATTTCTAAAGCAAAGACTGCTGTCTTGACAGACAATAATGTGTCCATAATAATGTTATGTTATCGTGTGTTTTACAATGAATTGTGTCGCTACTGAGTAACTGGTTTTTCACAAAATGCTCTACAAGTGAAATGTGTGAAGCTGGTAGTAATCGACTTCCAAATGTTATAAGGGGTATTATCTTCAAAATAGTTGTCTGAGACACTGCGTTGCTGCATTTAACACTTTTCATTGCAGACTTTCTAGGACATGGAGACTTCATTGAAGATAGAGGACAGTAATCCCCCAGCAAAGACTGTAAGTTGCTTAAAACGGTTCATTAGTGTGAATAGCCGTATATGTTTGTCTGACATGGATGCACTTACGTTGCTATGATGCTCAGTGACATTGCTCTACGAAAATGTCAAATCCGAAAGATTTGTTTTCACTGTGCGACCCAGTCCCTCAACCAGTAGCACTGTTACCCTTCCGTGTGAAATTTGGTGACGGAGCCACTACAGACTTCTGTTTCTTTGGTTTCTCTCTGGATACTCCAGTTTCCTTCAATGGTCCGAAGACATGCAGTTAAAATGGACTGTTGACTTTAAACTGCCCTTTGTGTGTGTGTGTGTGTGTGTGTGAGAGAGAGATCGAGAGAGAGAGAGAGATCTCTGCAGTCAGTCTTGCTTCCTGTCCATAGAGTAGCCCTTCTTCCATACTCTGCTTCCTTGGATATTCTCTGAACATCTGCATTTCCAATGTGATAAATCCTAAAGGGATGGACACTATTTATTAGTCTTCCAGCCAGAGACACTACAAAGGGGGAGAAGTTTAGATAATTCCAAAGATATGGAACATAATTGGATTGGTCTCGGTTGGGAGCCCAATAACATGCTTTCATGGGGCCCAGAATCTCTAGCAGTGTCCATGCTTTCAGCTCTCAGATCTAACTCCAATCGGTCCATTACTGTATCCTCTATAACTTTCTTTCCATTTTCTTACCTTTTTCCTTCTCGTCTTCTTTCTGTCTGGCTGGCTAAGAGGTCTCGCTATGATATCAGATTCCTGCCACTGTGAAATGCCATTCCAGTGGCCTCATCTCCACTCTGTTTTAAGGAGATGTGGTGGGGCACCTTGGGTACAGTCCGGCCTTTCCCTGGCTTTAATCCTCAGAAGGATGCCCAAGAAATCAAGACTGCTCTGGAGAAAAAAGGTACAGTGTGCTTTGTGCTTGTGGGAGTTTTACTCCTTAAATGTTCTGAGAGCAGAATGCAGAATGATTATCTCTCTGAACCAATCAGATTGTGGAGGAGGTGGGTCCAAGCAACTAGAGGAGGCTGACTAACCAATAAGATGTTTTGATCACACCTCCTCTAGTTACCTGGACCCACCTCCTCCACAATCTGATTGGTTCAGAGAGATAGTCATTCTGCATTCTGCTCTCAGAACATTTTTGTTTAAGTAAAACTCACATGAGCGTGTTTTGTAGTATAATTTCCTATAATGGATCAACTTTCTGTTGAATTACAGCCTCACACAGTAACACCATTTTGACTTGAGGTGTGCTTTGCTAGTGATACTGCAAGGTTTATGCCATTCTACAATGTTTCTGCTTCAGCAGTTGCTAATTGTGATAATTATTTTGGGCTATGGAAGACATAGAAACAGACATCACGTCAACGGTGAGACTGATTTGTTAAAATACGTGACTACCTTCTTATACATGCAGTATGATCAATTGAAAATCACTGTGTTGCATGCTTGATAAATTCATGAAGGACCATGTGTCATCGCGCCACAAAATAAGGACATTAATTATGAACTCTGCTGTGCTGTGCTCGGGACATGTTCGTTAAGCACAGACCAGTGGGGCAACAATCACGCCTGGGCAACCAAGCCAAATGTGACTACAACCATTAGACTTAACCCAGACTGCCTTAAATCTCACACGTTATCCAGCTAAGCAAGAAATCTGGCTTTATGGTACAGGCTCCACCAGGGTAGTTATGTTGTGATGGGTTTGCCGTTTCAGATGGGAACACCCTGGTGAGGATCCTGACCAACCGCACCAATGCACAGAGACAGCTCATCGCTCGGGCCTACCACAACCTCACGGGGAAGGTGAAGCTGCGCTTATTTCATTCTATACGACACACATAATACTCAAGACACCCCCACCAAGAAGGAATGGAATCTTCCATTTCCCTGTCTTTGATTCATCCAACCCCAGGACATGAGTTTCACTCTGAAGAAATGCTTGTCAGGGGCTCTGCAGGACCTGATGCTGGGGCTCGTGATGACTCCCTCACAGTTTGATGCCCACCGCCTCCGGCAGGCCATGGAGGTGAGAAAGACGGAGAGGGGCAGATGGGCGGATGCCTACGGACGCCAGGCAGCCACAGGCAGATGGCAAGATGGCAAAACAAAGCGGCAACGAGCAAATGACTTAGGAGATGTGTAGAGGCATCCAGACAGTGTTACAGAGGAGAAGGAAGGTGGGTATTTAAGTCATTCAGGATAAGGGCTGAAGCTGTGTGTGCACAGGGCCTGGGTACAGATGAGGAGGCCTTACTGGAGGTGCTGTGCACCAGATCAACAGAGCAGCTCAAAGACATTACTGTCGCCTATAAGCAGGGTGAGTGGAAGAAAATCGCCCGGCACCATAAGCGTTACCTGTGTCTACATCTGTCGTCAAATGAAAAAACACAGTTTCACTTGACGGTTTTTGTGGAATTAATTTTGGTAACTGTATTGCAATAGACTGCTGTGTATGTACAGATTTGCACAGGCGAGTTCACGTTAAGAAACGGGCACAGTCACCCAAGTCATGTTCTCGGTGCAGAGTTTGATCGATACCTGGAGAATGATCTGATCAGTGAGACCAGCAAAGACTTCACCACGCTGCTTCTGGCCATTCTTAAGGTACCCCCCCCCCCGACACCCCCTCACTGTGGCTATTTCAGATAAAGACTATAACATACTACACTCTGACATACTTAGTTTTGCTTTAAGCACTTTTCTTTTACATCCTTACTGCTGTTAATTTGTATTAATTTGTTTTTAATGTTTGTGTCTCGTGCCATGGGGAAAAGTTTTTGTGTTTTTTTACTTTTTTTTGGACATGTTTTGCCAGTGAGAATCAGTGTTCTGATCTCTCCTACCCACAGAAACAGCGGGAGAACCAGCAGGGAGTAATTGATTATGAGCTCATCGATGGAGACGTCAATGTGAGTCACTTCAGAGATACGTTCTAAAGTTCAGGCACCGTGCGCATGAGATGATAATCCTGTAACAGCCCTCATACTGTTTAATGGCTTTTATACCCCACGGTTTGTGTTTTACAGATTCTCTCATGAAAAGAAGATAAACGCTTTACATAAGAATCATAGTTTGTAGACAGATAATGAGAATTTAAATACAGTGGTACCTCGGTTCTCGAACTCACTAGAACTCGAATTACTTGAAAGTCGAACAAACCAGTTTGACCTAGAACTCGATCTGAATATCAGAAGTCGAACCGTGAACGCTGACCTGAAATTGTACGCGC